TTTATCAACTTTCTAATTCGACGGAGATGTTTCTATCCGGGCAGCAGAGTTCAGTACGATCAGAGAGAGAAATTTAAAAAGAAAAAAGGAGGAAAGGTTGCCATGGGGATTCTTCTTTTTAAAAAAATTCCATTGTGCTGCAACGGTTGTCAGTGTGAAAAACGATCACAAGTCACATTTTTCAGTGGCAACTTTGAACTGTTGTAAATCGAGAACTATCTGTAGCTCCCTGGATTTTTAAGAACTTTTCCAGCACTGTTATTGAATGTATTGAGGTATCTGGCAAGGAAATATTTCTGAAGCTGTGACACAACGGGCCACAGTTGTCTTATCATGTGATAAGAGTTTATACCAATACTGTTTTATCTATAAATGACTTCTGAGGATGCTATTATCTCCAATAGTAGCACGTCCCATTGGGCAATACCACCCATTTACAATTCTCCATCCTGGAGTATTTGAATTTTGGCCCTCCCCAAAGAGGAAAAAGAGACACCTGAATGAAGATGCAAATATGTTATGCAAAATATTTACGGGCTCTAAATAGACACCTTTGCAACTGAAAAGAATTCCAATTTGATTTTAAGGAAGCCCTTGAAAATAATTGCTGGTTTGTTATCTGCTGTATTGCAAGATTTCTCTCCCAGATCCGCATGTAAATGACTGGACTCCCAAGGGAAACGTGACTCAGTGGCAAGGGATTATGGGGGTTGTAGGCCAGAACAGCAGGGAGTCAGCGAGCTGTCGTCCCTGATTTATTTTGCCCTAGAAAGCAGATGCTATTTGTGGATTAAGGATCAATTAGGTCAGTGTTTCTCAAACCTCAGCAACTTTACGATGGATGGACTTCCATCCCAGAATTCAAAGCCGCATTGGACTGCCGGCATCGTCTGATTGGCTGGCTGGGGAATTCTGGGAATTAAAGTCCACTCAGTGTCTTAAATTTGCTGAGGGTTAAGGGATACCGAGCCCAATATTCCTCCAAGATCACATTCCGTTTTAAAATCATACAAAAACTCGAGTTCGTTCCTTTCCCCAGTCTACAATCATGTTATAATATATAGGACACCCCTTTTCCCTGGGACCCACAGACACAATTGCCACGCCGGGGGAAGAGCTTGCCACGGCTTTCGTGTTCCGAACACAATTCCCTGTCCCAATTGCCTTTTAACACTTCATTAGAGAGATCGCTGTCCTATTGCAAGAACGGAGATTGTGCCCGACAGGCATCGGAGTGAACCGAGTCAAGTCATGAATGAGGCTGATCTCATTCATGACTTGCTATTCTCAAAAAAAAAAAGAGAGGCTGACCTCAAATTCATTGATGAACTTGCTGGTCTTAAAATGGCTGATCTCAACAAGCAAAGAAAGAGTTAATGCTTGGACGGGAGCACCAGGGAATATTTTTATTTGGCCCAAAATATCCTTGGAAAAGCGAACTTCGCAAACACACGTCTAGGAGGGAGGCCATGAGTGTGATCTGAAGGAGACCTTCCCTCTTTCAAGGAATGGTGGATCTCAGAAAGACTATCTTGGCCGTCAGCCACTCGTCTGTTGTACCACAGCTTCTCGGAATTCCATAAATAGGGAATCACGCCACAGCTTCAAATCAGATGACGCCGGAAGGAAGTCCAACATGAGTTGGAGTGGAGAGAATTCTCAGAACGTCCCTGAGGACTAGCTACACCACACGAGATGCGTAAGGGTGGACTTCCCATTAAGAGTTACTAGCGATACTAAGGCTGGCCTGGAATGAAGTCCCAGATATTTGGGAGGTCCGTATTGACCTAGAAAAGCATAATTTGAGGAGCCTGTCTTAATTCAGATCTGGGGTGGCAGGGAAAGACCTTCACTGTAGGACACCAAGCAACTCAGCCTGGCCCAACTGACTCAGCATTGTGTTTCATTCTTCAGGGTCAGAAGGACTGTTGAGCTCGCTGGGTTTGCAGAATTCAGTATCTTTTCGACTTCTCATTATTCTCAATTATCAGCTTCGCTTCTCAATTATCACCCTGGATCTATTAGGTTTCACTCCAAGCTTGGCACACCCAGAAAAGTCAAAGTTAAGACAAACACACAGAACCAGATTTTCCCGGGGGCGGATGGGTGGGTGGGAGGGTGTTAAGGAGGGGAAAGTCTAAATTAAATCTGTCTTTTCTCCATTCTGCACAAGGAGAACTCCGGGTGTTTTTGGGTCCCCTTTCCTGGTGTCCTTAGAGCCTCGGAGATGCAGAAGTGGAAAATTACACAAGCCGAAAACTTCGCAACCCAACACACACGTTCCCCGTTTACAGTCAACGGGAATTCAGGAAGAAAAAACATGCATGCACTAGAAAAGGCAGGAATGTAAGAGGCGCAGCCATCCAGGCGTAACCATTCTCCAAAACAGCTGGGGGGAAAAAAAACACTGAGAAATTCAGATATTTCTTGCTGTTTCCCTAGCCAGGGCACTGTTTTTGGGAGGACCAACACTGATAGGGTAGCTTAATGCTGCTAAAAAGGATTGGCAAAGAGCCATCAAGAGTGTTGGAATGAATGTAATGTATATATCAGTCTTTCTCCACCTTGGCAACTTTTAAGATGGGTGGCCTCCAATTCCCAGTATTCCCCAGCCAGCAAAGAATTCTGGGAATTGAAGTCCACCCATCTTCAAGTTGCCAAGGTGGAGAAAGGCTGATATACTGTACATTTTAAAAAAAAGTTAGTTAATTTATTTGATCTGGCTTCTGTTTTGCCCCCGTCCAAACCATTGAGAGATCAATGACCTTCTAAGCTCCTTCTTAGAATCACACACACACACACACACAACACACACAGGATTACTATCTTAATTTCCCTTTTGTTCTCTTTCCTGGGTCAATTAAAAAAAACAAAAACTTGGGGCACCAATTTAATCTGCCATCATCTGTAAAGGATCATTTTTCTTTCAGTTGGGAGGGCATTTTGAGGCCTTACTGCTAAATAAAAATGTATTTGATTGGCCAGGTTAAAGAAAGGAGATTAAAAAGGGAAGAAAAATTATATTTTGCACTGAGAATGTTACCTAGAGGAAAGGTCTGCAAGAAAATATCCAAGCTCAGAGAGCACCAAGGACCCCTCATCTTACTACAATAACACCACCCCATAAAAAGAACTAAAAAACCCCTCCCTTTTTATGACCCTGTAAGAATTGCATTTTTTTTGGTGGTGGGGAAAATAATTGCACTTTTTGGCTGCCAAAGAATTGCATTTGGTAAAAATTTAGGAAGCAAAGCTACTCCACGAGCAGACTCTAAAATGAAAGCAAGGATGCTTAAAGCTACATAAATATATATTTTTTTCTTATAACACCCACTGGGAGATTCTCTAGAAAAACCACTTTCCTTCCATTATGTATATTCTTTCTTTTTCTTTCTTCTTTCTTTCTTTCTTTCTTTCTTTCTTTTTTCTTTCTTTCTTTTCTTTCTTTCTTTCTTTCTTTCTTCCCTCCCTCTCTCTCTCTCTCTCTCTCTCTCTCTCTCTTTTTTTTCCCCTTCCCTCCCTCCCCGTTCCTGGGTTGGGAAAATTTTTTTTTTTTTTTGAAAAAAAAAGGGGGCATTAAAAGAGTGAAGTGGCACCCAGAAGGGTTAGGGTTGCTTTGAACTTCTCCACCCTCCCGCCTCACTTCCTTAAACATTAAAAGATGTGAAGCCAGGGGGTTATTACATGTTTGTGTTTCACATCCTCTCCCTAATCCTTTTTTTTTAACATGGGAAAAAAATGGAGTCAAGTATCCACTTCCCCACCCCCCCTCCCAACATACCAATCCTTGGGGAGGGGGGATGAGACAGAGAAGGAGGGGAGAATCCAAGATGTTGGGGTTCGCTTAAGAAAAAAAAGGGGGGGCACAGCTTGATCACTTCTCCCCAACTTTCAATGGAAGAGTGACATTGCTCTCCGCCCCATGCTCTCTTTATGCAGAAGGGTGGGGGGTGGGTTTACCTTTATAATGTCCCCCCAGTCAAAAATTTGCTTAGGTTTGTGGAGGGAGAGGAGGGAGCCTGGAAGGGGGTCTTCATCCTTGCTGGTTGAGGTGGGTGGGTCATACATAGGTTGGCTGTACAAAATGGGATGCTAGCACGATGGGGAGGGGGCTGCCGCTGCCCCCCCCTTTGCAAGGGAAAGACTCCCCCTCTCTGGGCCTGATTTGCCTGCATCTCAGCCCCCCCAACCCCCTCCTCTTCCCCCAAATCTTCCATGACTTCCATGGAAACATCACCCAGGAAATACCTCTGCCCCCCACTCTCTCTTCCACTGATCTGGCGGAAAGGGGGGTGTCCATCAAAGGCTGGAGGGGGGGGTAGCTGTACTCCTCAGGGCCAAGATTGCCCCCCTCCCCAAATACACACACACACCACCCCTTCCAGCAAAGAAGAAGAGGCCCCAAATTTCTGGACTTTATTCACCCCCAAAGGGAAGAGGACTTACAAAGTAAAGAGGCATTTGGAGGTGGGAGTGGGGGAGGGAAAAAAAACGGGGGGGGGCGAGTCTATCTACTTCCCAGGAAAACAGCAGGCAGCCCCCCTCCCCACAGCTTTGCCTCCGAAGGAACCCCAAAGCCGGGCCCAGCCGGAGAGGCTGGCTGGCTCTTTTTTTTTTTTGACTTCCGTTCATCACCTTTTCGTTCAAGAAACCCAGGGATGGGGGGAAGGGGGGGGGAGAGGTCTTTTAGAAGGGAGGGAGGGGGGCGAGAGAGAGGAAAGGCCAGGCCTGAACGGGCTCGGCTTCTGCATCTCCGGCAGGACCCCCTCCTCCCTTCCCCAGCGCCCCCTTCCTCCTCCTCCCTTTTTCAGCCCCCCCAAATTCGGATCGCAAAAAAAAAAAAAACCCCAAAAAACACAATTCAACGTCATGGCCAAAGGCAGCCACGATCTCCCCAGCCGGCCCTGCTCAGCTTTCTGTCCCCCCCCCTCAGATCCTGAGCCCCAACATTTATGGGTTTTTTGGGGGTGGGTGGGTTGGGGGGTCTCTCCCCCTCTTACCTGCTCCTCCTCGGGAGTCAGCTGCGCGGCCATGCTCCTGCCAGCCCGCAGAAAAGGCGCAAGTTTGCCAAAGTCGCCAGCCTCGCCCCCCAAGCTTTCTCCGCCCCCTCCTCTGTTATTTGAGAATGAGTGGGGGGGGGGAGGGAAAGCCAACGGGGCTTGGATGGATTGGAGGTGGGGAGGGGGCGGTCAGCGGCAAAGAGCTGCCCTCCGCGCTAAGTCAAAGCCGGGCATCTTCGCTTTGGGGACGGAGCGCTTGAAAAGAGCCAGGGAAAAGAAGAGGAGGAGGAGGAAGGGGGGGGTCGAAAGGGGAGGGGTCCCGCGGGCTCCCCTCAAAAGGGGGAGGGCCACCTAGAGCCCAGGCTCCGAATTAAGACGGTCGGAGCGGCGCGATCCGAAGCCGACAAACCCAGGAGCCGCGAAGGAAGAGGCAGCAGCCCGAAAAAGCTCGCTCGCTTGGCCGGGCCAGCCCGGACCTCCCGTGCATTGCGGGTGGGCGTGGGAGTGGGGAGTGGAAGAAAGAGGAGAAACCCCCCCCCCTTCTCTCTCTCTCTCTCTTGCCTTCTTTTGCAACAGTTCTGGCTTTAAAAACAATTAAAAGCAAAACAAACAAACAAAAAACCCGAATTGTTGCGGGAAGCCTCTGCCTTTTGCTTCTCCACCCACCGAGCACGCCAAAGCTATGGGAGAGGGGGAAAAAAAATAACCCTGGGGTGGGAGTGGGGGTGGCAGAAGAGGAGGAGGAGGAGGAGGAGGCAGGGGGAAAAACGAGGAGGGGGGAGATCCCGTCCGCTTGCAAAAAAAAGGAGAGAGACAGAGAAAGAGGAGAGAGAAAAGAAATTGGGGAGGGGGCGACAGAAGGAAGTTTCTCCGCTGTCTCAAAGCGCAAAATCTGCCCCGATTCGGATGGGCTCCCTTCCGGAGTGGGAGGAAATGAGGAGGGGGGGGAGGCAGACTTTCCTTCGAACTGTTGCTTTCTGGAGGAGGAGTCGGAGTCTCTCTCTGTGTGTGTGTGTGTGTGTGTGTGTGTGTGTGTGTGTGTTGAGAAGACGGGGGGGGGGGCTGGGTGAGAAGGATTAGGAAATGGATGGATCCGCTCCCGCTGGCTTGACCGACCCCCTCCTCCTCTTCCCCGCCCAGGCGGGCGGATCTGCTGCCCAGCCTTCCTCGCAGCGCTGATTCCTCAAAAGCAGAGGGAGGGGGAGGGAGGGAGGCCAGCCCTTCCCGGCGCCGGGGCTGCTCAAGGCCCCCCCTCCACCGACACCCCAGCCTGGAGAAACGCCATCCCATTCGCGGGCCCGCGGGGCGGGGATGCTGTTTGGGAGGGCGGGCCGGTGGAGGAGGAGGAGGAGAGGAGGAGGAGGGAAGAATGCGGAGAGGAAGTGCGGAGAGAAGAGGAAGGAGGGGAGGGGAAGAGGGAGACGGGTGGGGGGGAGGAGGAGAAGAAGAGGAAGGAGTGGAAGGAAGAGGGGGAAGGGGAGGAGGGGGAAGGAAGAATGCGGAGGGAAGTGCCACGAGAGGAAGAAGGAGGAGGGGGAAGAGGGAGGAGGAGGAGAAGTGGGAGGAAGAGGGAGAAGGAAAAAAGGAGGAAGAGGAGGAAAGAATGCAGACAGAAAGTGCCAAGGAAGAAAGAAGAAGAGGGGAGGAGGAGGAAGATGAAGAAATGGAAGGAAAAATGAAAAAAGGAGAACCACCAAGAGGAAGAAGAGGAGAAAGAGGAAAAAGAAGGGAGAAGGAAGAAGAGGATGATGATGATGATGAAGAAGAAGAAGAAGAAGGAGAAGGAGGAAGAGAGCAGAGAGGGTGAAGGAAGGATGAAGAGAAAGACAAACAGGCATCAAAACATCCAGGGGCTACACGCACATTTATTTATCTATTTTTATTTTACGGTATTTATTTGTATTCCACCTTTATTGTCTTTGTAATCAATAACTCAAGGCAGTGAAGATACCTAATAGTCCTCCTTCTTTTTCCCTACAACAACAGCCCTGTGAGGTGGGCTGAGAGAGATTTATCTCCGCACGTTCAACAACCTTTGTTTGGTCGCTAAGGTTGACCAGAGGACATGGCAATCGTCATAAGTCTAGGCCAGTTGCCAAGCGCCCAAATTTTGATCCCAGGATGGCAAGGACACTAGTGGTCATAAGTCATTTTTCCCCTCCAATACCGTCGTAACCTTGAACGGTTGGGAAATGGCCATAACTCGAGGTTTACCTATTCTAAAATGTTAGCCATAGAAGCTGGGAGTAAAAATGTATTGGTGAAGATGATAAGGCAGCTTGTGAACAGAATAACAAATGTGACCTTGATGGAAATACACAAAACCCATCGCCTACATATTTTTTTAGGTGTAAAACAACCAGACAACATCTGGAAGTGGCTTCAGCAGACACCGATACCTAATTCACAGAAGTATTAGAAAGGAGAAGCACGGTTAAACTTGCAAAAGTTGAGCTTTATTAGAGCCAGACTCAACCAAGCTGGTCTTCACCATCTCTCAAGGTCAAGTCCCTGGGTCTGCTCTACCTCGCAGGGCTGTCGCTTTGATCCTGCAATTCCCCACAGCTAGCGGGGAGGCGAGGGGAACCCAAAGCTATCAGGATGGTGCAGCCAGGAATCCCATCTGAGCAGAGTCCTCTGAAGGCCTTGCAGAGCCTGATGGTGCAGTGGACTAAACTCCTGTTAAAGTAGTATTTAGCTGCCAGCTGCCTGCAATTACTGCGAGTTCAATTCTCACCAGGATCAAGATTGACTCAGTCTTCCATTCTTCCGAGGTCGGTAAAATGAGGACCCGGATTGTGGGGGCAATAAGCTGACTTTGTATAAAAAAAGAACACCGCTTGGGGGGGAACAAAAGCCCTACTAAGCAGGTATATACAAAACTATGAAGGCTATTGCTTAACGCATTGAAAGCCGCCCTGAGTTTCCAGGGAAGGGCGGCATATAAATCGAACAAACAAACAAACAAACAAACAAACAAACAAACAAACAAAGAAAGAAATAAATAAAACCCCACCCTGAACTGCATGCTCAGATGGACACCATATTCTCCATCCAGAGAATCAAGTCAGCCTTTCTGGAATCCTATCCCATCATCTGCCCCCCAATGAGGCGGGGGAGGGGGGGTCTGGTCTTTGCAAAGCTCAGCCAGTAACAGAGTTGGAAGGGACCTTGGAGGTCATCTAGCCAGAAAACCCCCTTCAGGGCAGCCCCTTGCTACGAGACAGGGGTCCGCGGATTGTGTTCCTATACGTTTTCAGAACAGAACACAATAGAATCACGGAGTTGGAAGGGACCTTGGAGGTCTTCTAGTCCATCCCCTTGCTCAGACAGAAAACCCTATAACATTTCAGACAAATGGTTGTCCAGTCTCTTCTTGAAAACCTCCAGCGATGGAGCCCCCACAACTTCTAGTGGCAAGCCGTTCCACTGATTAATTGTTCTGTTAGGAAGATTTCTCCTTAATTCCAGGTTGCTTCTCTCCTTTGATTAGTTTCCATCCGTTGCTTCTTGTCCTGCCTTCAGGTGCTTTGGAGAATAGCTTGACCCCTCTTCTTTGTGGAAGCCCCTCAAATATTGGAAGACTGCTATCATGTCTCCCCTGGTCCTCCTTTTCATTAAACTAGACATACCCAGTTCCTGCAACCGTTCTTCCTAAGTTTTAGCCTCCGGTCCCCTAATCATCTTTTTAAGATTGCAGCTTTCTCTAGCTTGCAAAGGGGTGCAGAATTATCTCTAGCTTGCAAAGGGGTGCAGAATTATCTCTAGCTTGCAAAGGGGTGCAGAATTATCTATAGCTTGCAAAGGGGTGCTCTCTCCCACCCTGAAAAAAAAAAATCCTGGGCCAGGTTGCTCTCTGGCTGCACAGCCACCAGTGAGTTGCCAGCCGCTTACATTCTTGGCAAGGAAAACGTGGCTTTCTGAGAAAAGAGGGCCGGAGGGGGCGGGGTGGATTTTAAAAAGGCCCACTGTCTGGAGATGGAGAGCGACTCCGAGTTTATCGAGAAACACATCGGCCCCTTAACCATGATGTCATTTCTCTTGAAAACCACCTTGGGCTATTCAGAGAATTGGAGACAGGCTGCACGGCCGTATTTATAGTTAGAAAGCTTGCACCTCGTTGCAGCTTTCTAAGTCTTGAGTTGGTTTCCTGGCACCTCTTTTGCGCAAACTCAGGACTTTTCGTGAGCCATGGATTTCTCGAGAAGGAGAGCACCTGGCTTCGAATCTCCCAATGGGTGTGCAAATTCAACATTTTTATTTTTTATTTTTGCTTTTATTTATTTTTTTTGCTGAGCACCCGGGGAGAGTTTAGGCTTGCTGGCGTTCTGGTATTTTTTTTTTTTTTGAATGAAATAAGGAAAGTGTAGCCGGAGTTGGTCTCGATTTCCTTCCTTTGAAAAAAAAAAAGCTTCTAGTCCTTAACGGCAGGAAAAGTAACAAGGGGCGCCTACTCGAAAATAGGTGGCCAGCTGTCTGGATTTGGGAAGTTTCTAGTCCTTATGGCAGGAAAACTCAACAAGGGGCAACTACTGAATCCCAGGTGACTAATATCTCTTCTCTGGCAGGATACAAAAGGCCAAACTGGAGAGAAGGCCTGATTTAGCCAAATTTGCAAGATTTGGCCTCTCTTCGCTTAGAATACGAAGGAGCCGACTGCAAATATTGATTTTTTTTAAAAGTCCTCTCAAAATGCTTCCGCCTGCAGGGGACCTGAAATGGACATAATCCCCCCAGCAAGCCAGGAGGATCTAATTGCTGAGGGTTGACCAGGAATGAATGAGGCAAGGAGGGGAATTTGCAAGAGGAGGGATAGATTTGCAGATTTTTTGCTCCCAAAAGCTACGCTTGAGAGTTGGCTTTGGATGAAAATGGCCAGGCTCCAAGTGGGGAGTCCCTTTCTTCTGCTAAGACGATGCTCTGGGTTTTTGTTGTTTTTTTTTCCAGAATGAAGAGCATTTCCTGTCTGGATGCCGAGAGGAAAGCCAATTTCCCAGGCTCAAAACACTGCTAGCTTTCTCACTCAAGGGACCCTAAATTCTCAGCGCTCCAAAGCCCTCGGTGAGAACACGAGAAACTCAAGAAGTTTTTTAAAAAATGATGCCTGAATTTTCAGCTCCCCAAAGAGCCTATTTAACAAAAAAAATCAAGGTGTCCCACAGGGTGCAGTCCAGTTCTAACATGGCTTAGGCCAGGGCTGTCCAGTTTGGCTACTTCATTATTATTATTATTATTATTATTATTATTATTATTATTATTATTATTATTATTATTATTAAGACTTCTATACCGCCCTTCTCCTGAAGGACTCAGGGCAGTGTACAGCCATATTAAAACACATAGATTTACAAAATTTAAAACCAATTAAGATCAGATATATAAAATTTGGCTCAAAAATTAAGACATACATACACCCCTTATAAAATCCGTATTAGGCCAATCTGGCTTGCTGGAACAGAAGGGTCTTCGGGGCGCGGCGAAAAGTACGCAGGTCGGGGCTAAGACGAAGCTCTAAGGGGAGCTCATTCCAGATCGTCGGTGCCCCCGCAGAGAAGGCTCTCCCCCTGGGGGTCGCCAGCCGACATTGTCTGGCCGACGGCACCCTGAGGAGTCCCTCTCTGTGGGAGCGTACTGGCCGGTGGGAGGCTATCGGTGGCAGAAGGCGATCTCGTAAGTACCCAGGTCCTAAGCCATGGAGCGCTTTAAAGGTGGTAACCAGCACCTTGAATCGCACCCGGAAGACCACCGGGAGCCAGTGCAGCTCGCGCAGGAGGGGTGTTACATGGAGCGCCGAGTCGCCCCCATAACCACCCACGCGGCCGCATTCTGGACCAGCTGGAGCCTCCGAGTGGTCTTCAAGGGGAGCCCCATGTAGAAAGCGTTGCAATAGTCCAGACATGACGTGACGAGGGCATGAGTGACTGTGCGCAGGGCATCCCGGTCCAGAAAGGGACGCAACTGGTGTATCAGGCGAACCTGATAAAAAGCTCTCCTGGCCACGGCTGTCACATGGTCTTCTAAAGATGAGGATGCCCAAGTTATGAGCCCTCTCTGAGGGGGCCAAGATCTCACCCCCAATAGTCAACGATGGACCCAGTTGACTATACTAGCACGCCGGAAACCACAGCCACTCGGTCTTGGAAGGGTTGAGTTTGAGCTTGTTCCTCCCCATCCAGATCCACACAGCCTCCAGGCACTGGGACATCACGTCAAGGGCATCATTGGGGTTGGGGCATCATTAAGCCTTGTGGACTTCAACTCCCAGAATTCCCCAGCCAGCATGTCCAACATTGGCCATTTTTAAGACTTGTGGACTTCAACTCCAGAATTCCCCAGCCAGCCATGAGTTGAAGTCTGCAAGTTGATAAGGTTGGAGCCTTCTCTATTAGGCCAAGCATGTTGTCACAAATTCACTCAAGTTTATAAGCCATGGTTTAGGGCTTAAGTGGCAATTGCAACCCAGTCCATCCAAGCATGCTTAAACCAGGCCTTAATGCCACCTACATAACTCATTTCTTCAAAAACAAATAAATATATATAAAAAAATCAATGGATTTTCCTGGGCTTTCCAAACCGTAGCAAGAAAAAAGGAGGAACCACCACAAGGGAAGGCTGTAATTCTGAAGTCAGGGGGAACCAAAAATGTTGAGGAAGAAGGAGAGAATCAAGAACTATTTCAATCAAGAATCAGAAAATATTTGAAACCAGGAATCAGAAAACATTCAAAATCAGCAGAGAATCAGGAACTAATTGGAATCACCAAGGATGAATTGAGGGATCAGAAAATATGCAAAATGGAGGGAATCAGAAAATATTTGAAATCAAGAAAGAATAAGAGATTCTAGAAAACCTAAGAATCAAAATATTCGAAATGGAGAGAATCAGAAAATATTTGAAATCAGCAACCAGAAAATATTTGAAACGAAGAAAAATGGTTCATGCATTGGACTAACAGTGAATTTTAATGACTTTGAGTCAGCCATTCTCTTAGTCCATGAAATCATCTGGAATCAAGGGCGATTAGAAGGATTGGGCGGGAGAGAAAAAGGGGATCAATTATTTTCCAAAGTTCTTTCAGATCTTTCAAAAGTTCTTTATTTGGTGAATCCCAAGAGTGCAAACACCAAAATTCCCAAACACCGCAAACGTGGCAGAATTAAGAGGGAAGCCGAAAGGCTTCAGCATGTGAATGGGGTGTCCTTTTATCTATTCTGGGTTTTCTTTCCTTTTACGTGAGGAGCACATAGTGTAGCTCCCTTAACGTCCAATCTGTGCAGCGATGACCGCAAGGTAGGTCAAAAAAGTCAAGATGGCAGCCACCACCACCCACGCCATTTGATTCTAGACCAGTGTTTCTCAACCTTGGAAGCTTGAAGATGGGTGGACTTCAACTCCCAGAATCCCCCAGCCAGCGCTGCTGGCTGGGGGATTCTGGGAGTTGAAGTCCACCATCTTCAAGCTACCAAGGTTGAGAGACACTGCTCTAGACTGAAAACTAACTTCCCTGCAGTGCACATGGCACAATCCGTGTCTTTTTATGTGTGTGGTTTTTTTTTAAAACTTCACATCTCTCTTTCAAACTTGGAATCCGGTACTGGTGAAGCCCAATGGCCTTGATGGCTTGTGACAAAACACCCGGCAATCTAAGGTGTGTGTGTGTGTGACCTGTGAGAATTTGAACCCGGGTTCGAACCAGCTCGTCTCCCAATTCGTTCAGAAACTCAAGAGGTTGGCATGGATGGATTTGACTCTCATTTAAGGACGAGCTGAGCAAACGGCAGCCTCTCTAACGCGGGACCAAAGCCCAAAACCCTCCGAATGAAAATATCGCGTTAAAAGACGTGTTGTTTCCACCCAAATGTTGAAGATGTGTGTGTGTATGTATATATATATAATAGTTCCGGAGTTCGCAGTATCTCTGCTTCTTTATATATAAAGAAGCAGAGATACTGCGAACTCCGGAACTTAAGATTTTAAAAGAATTAAAATTTTATTTTACTAACCTTAGTAAAATAAAATTTTAATTCTTTTAAAATTTTAAAATCTTATGTTCCAGAGTTCGCAGTATGTCTGCTTCTTTTTTTACTAATATACCTGGAAGTGGTATATATATATATATATATATATATATGTTTTCTCAGGTTTTCGCGGGTGTTTGTATGTAGGTCTTTGGTTATTCGGGTCTTCTCCCACGTAAAATTGGAAGTGTCTTGGCGACGTTTCGACGCAGCTCACCAGCTCAAATCCCCCTGCAACTCAGACTAAGCTGAGCACAACAAGCCCCCACCCAAACAGAACACAACCCCAGCCAATCAGAGCACAGCCAAGCCCTTAACCAATCAGAACACACCTCCACCCAATCAGAACACAGCCAAGTTCCCACCCAATCAGCTCACACCTCCACTAGCAGTTAAAAGGAAGAGACAGCTGCGATCTCACATTGCTCCTGGAAGCACGAAGCCGAGAACACCAGCCTGAAGATGACGAATGAGACTTCGTCGAAACGTCGCCAAGACACTTCCAATTTTACGTGGGAGAAGACCCGAATAACCAAAGACCTACATATATATATATATATATATGGTATATATATATACCATATATATATTATGGGGGTTCCTATCTGGGTTGACAGAGAATCTTCTCGACCACTTTCTGATCTCCGATCAGTTGTCCATCTGGCACTCCCCGCTGGGTGAGAGGGGCTGAGATGCTTCCACTGGAGGAGTGGACAAATGCTCCAGTTCGTAACGCCCGTCTTGCGAGGGGGGATCGTCAGCCGCGCCCGGCTGCTGGTTTTTATTCCTCTTGTGCTCAATGATTTGCTGCAGCTGCTGCCCCGCGTAGCCGGGCTTGGAGGTGAGCGGGCAGCTGGGCACCACGATGCCCAAGATGTCGGAGACCATGTAAGGGCGCAGCCAACCCACTAACGGCGTGCTGCCGGGGTTGTAGTGCGCTTGCTTGTGATAGAAAAGGATCCCGTCTACCTGCAAGGAGAAACGGGATGAAAACAGCTGGGTCGGGTTCAGGATAAGGCGCGGGCGTCCATGGGGAAGAGGGCAAAAAAGTCAAGATGGCGACCAAAACGACGTGATTGGAAGCTCCCGATTAAGAATTTTGATAATAACACATCAAAATAGTTCTCAACTTATGACCATTCGGAGCAAGAACACGACTGGAAAGAGAAGCAATTTATGACCAGTCCTCGCATTTACGACCGTCACAGAATCCCCACAGCCACGGGATCAGAATTCGGGTGCTTGGCAACCCGCATTTAAGACGGTTGCAGCATCTCAGAGCCCTGGGATCGCCATTCGCCTCAAAAGGAGGAACTTCTAGTAGTTTTGGGGATGGCTGGCCGTCTCCACCAGGGGAGCTGTGTTTGCACCAAAAGTCCAGCAGGGGGAGCTCTACGCTTTGAGAAGCCTATATGGTCAGAGTGACTTTGCTTAAGCAGAATTCAGAATAACAAAAAGAGTTGGAAGGGACCTTGGAGGTCTTCTAGTCCAACCCCGAGACCCTAAACCACTCCGGACAAATGGCTGTCCAGTCTCTTCTTTAAAAAACCTCCAGGGATGGAGCACCCACAACTTCTGGAGGCAAATACTGAATATCCACATAAGTGAGTGAATTGTTTCTGTGGGGTCTGTATCAGGGGTGAAATGTAAAATTTGTGACTACCGATTCTGTGGGCGTGACTGAGTGGGCGTGGCCAACTTTTTTTTCTTTCTTTTCTTTTAAAACCATTTTTTCTACAACCTCTTCAGCTGAAGAGGTTGTAAAAAAAAATGCTTTTAAAAGCCTCTGATGATCCCAGCTGAGCCATGTGATCATCAGAGGCTTTTTTTTTTTTTTTTTTACTTTTAAAAGAATTTTTTCGGCCAAAGAGGTTGTAGAAAAAATGCTTTTAAAAATAAAAAAAAAAGCCTCTGATGATTGCACGGCTCAGCTGGGCAAATGGGGGGGGGGGCAGGGATTTTTGCTACCGGTTCTCCGAACCACCTGCCTCCATTGCTACCAGATCGGGCGATCCGGTCTGAACCGGGAGCATTTCACCCCTGGTCTGTATGTATGTGATGAGGGTACTGGTATCTGGAAGGTGCTGCTTTGGGGGTCCCTTTGTTGGGGAACCCAGCAGGAGAACCCCTCCCTTGCAGACCCAGCCTGATGTGAAAGCCATTTAACGGAGGACGTTAAAACTGAGATGCGTTCATGTGAACAAGGCCAACTCACCTCGAAGGGGAACGTCATCGCCAAAACCTCACACAGGCTGGCTGAATTGCAGGAGTAGCTCTTGAGGCCCACAAACCTATACTGAGAAAGAGGCCGAAGAAGTCAGTACACACACGTATGTAAACCCTCTGCTTTGTTTGATAGATGAGTGGGAAACGGAGCCTCCAGGCTTAGAGGCAGTCTACCTCCAAACAACTCGGCGAGTATGAGGTAGGCCACTTGAATCACCGCAACTTGAAAGTGGGGGGGGGGGCACCTCAACTCCCAGAATTCCCCTGCCAACACTACATAAACCAAGCCAAATCAAATTTTAAAAAATGTGGTAAAATGGACACCTAACATCAAAAACGTCATCAAAAAAGCCCAACAAAGAATATTCTTTCTGCGCCAACTCAGAAAGCTCAAACTGCCCAAGGAGCTGCTGATAACAGTTCTACAGAGGAATTATTGAGTCTGTCATCTGCACTTCTATAACTGTCTGGTTTGGTTCTGCAACCCAACAAGACAGACCCAGACTTCAGAGGATCATTAGAACTGCAGAATAAACCAGGGCTACCAACCTGCCTTCCATGGAGGACCTGTGTACTGCACGAGTCAAAAAGAGGGCTGTGAAAATATTTGGTCAAAATAAAATTTAAAAAAATGACTCACTGGGTTAAGTCGGCTTTTCTCCGACAAGTCCATCTCCTCTTCCATTTTGGAATGTAGCCAGTAGAATCTGAAATCTGTCTGGAGAAGGAAGGGAAGAAAAGGGGACCAAGAGGTGTGAAAGGCTCTTTCCTTCCTCCCCCAATGTCATCTCCACATCCCATTACAGCAGAGGTCTTCAAACTTGGCAGCTTTAAGACTTGTGGACTTCAACTCCCAGAATTCTCCAGCCAGCATGTCAGACATTGGCCATTTTTAAGACTTGTGGACTTCAACTCCCAGAATTCCCCAGCCAGCCATGAGTTGAAGCCTGCAAGTTGACAAGGCTGGAGCCTTCTCTATTAGGCCAAGCATATTGTCACAAACTCACACAGGTTTATAAGCCATGGTTTAAGGCTTACATGGCAATTGCAACCCAGCCCATCAAGCATGCTTAAACCAGGCCTTATATATATATATTTATATATATATAAATCAATGGATTTTCCTGGGCTTTCCAAACCCTAGCAAGAAAAAAGGAAGAACCACCACAAGGGAAGGCTGTAATTCTGAAGTTAGGGGGAACCAAAAATGTTGAGGAAGAAGGAGAGAACTATTTAAATCAAGCATAGCTGGCTGGAGAATTCTGGGAGTTGAAGTCCACAAGTCTTAAAGCTGCCAAGTTTGAAGACCTCTGCATTACAGGTTCAAGCAACACAGATTTAACCTTCTCTCTGCGGTTCACCCAAGCAATTGAATTCTAGGAGCCCCCCCAACGTCCTAACTCACAAACTACCAAATGAAGCCTAACAGTAACCAGGTTTAGGAGGAACCTCCGAGGCATCTCTCGTTGACCTAGGGATGTGAGTGGTCGGCCATAGTTACCTGGCAGTCATAAACAGGGTGTCCCCGCCAACACATCACGTCAAGGATGTAGTACGTCTGCTGGACCTCGTTGTAGATGCAATCCAAGATGGTGTATTCTGTAAGTGACACCCACCGGGATTAGTCCTTGTGTTAAGTTCTGGCTGTGTTGTAAATCGGGGAGGTTGTGCAAAAGTTTTGATTTCGTCCTTGCCAAGAACAACAGTGATGGTCATGAGGAGAAAAGAACTGGAAAACTCACCTTTCCCTGTTGCTGAATTAAGCCGGTTCCCACCAGGCAAAAGAGACGGGAACCGATTGACGCAGAAACCGCTTTTGGTGTACGCTGCCGTGTTGCCCTAGAAGTGTGTGAAGCGCGAGAGAGAAATGAGAATATGGGTTTTTTTCCAGGGCAAAGCATTCAATTGAACTGGGCATCTTGTCTTAAGCTTGGGAGGACAAAGAGGAGGAGGAGAAGGAAGGGAGAAAGAAAGGAAAAAAGAGGAGGAGGAGGAGAAAAGAAGAAGAAAGGGAAAGGAAGGAGGAGGAGAAGAGGAAAAGGAAGAAAGAAAGGGGAAAGGAGGAGAAAGAAGGAGGAGAAGGAAGAAAGACAGGGAAAGGAAGGAGGAAGAGGAGGAGAACAGGAGGAAAAGGAAGAAGGAGAAGGGAAAAAAGAGGAGGAGGAAGGATGAGGAGGGGAAGGAAGGAAGGAAGAAGGGGAAAAGAAGAAGGAGGAGAAGGAAGGAAGAAGAATGGGAAAGGAAGAGGGAGGAAAAGATGAGGAAAAGAAAGAAAGAAGGAGAAGCGGAGAAAGAAGAAGGAAGAAACATGGGGAAAGGAAGGAAGAAGAGAATAGGAGGAAAAGGAAGAAAGAAGGAGAAGGGGAAAAAAGGAGGAGGAGAAAGAAGGAAGAAGAGGAGGAGGAGGAGGACTAAGAGGAGAAGGGGAAGAGGAGGATGGCCTCCTGCTTCTTCACACAGAAGCACAAATTGATGTACCCACTGCTCTCGTCTTCTTCCCCATAACAATCTGAAGAAGCAGGTTAAAGCTGAGAGGGACCAGCCCAGAACTACCCACAAAGCCTCCATGGCCAAGACTGAACATGAATCTGAGTTTCCCACTGACAGTCCAACCCTCAACCGCAACTCCAGGTTGGCTCTCCACCTGGTTTCTTACCCTGGAGGCCACGACAAGCGCTCTCTTCCCTATTGGACACACCACGAAGAGCCACTCCAGATCCAGATCTGGGGGGACATCGATCAGCCACTCAGAGAGCATCAGCTGCAGAGAAGAGGAAGCAGACAGTTCAATCGCCTTGAGAAAACCCACCAAAGATCCAGAACGAGAAAAGGAACCATCTGACCCCAATGAAGACACGCCAAGTTGAAGGTCAGTTTTTTGACTGTGAATGCTTGCTGTGAATGCCCAAGATTTTCAGTTCTCCCGAGGTCTCCAAGATCTGAACCTCCCCCAACCAATGATGCATTATACAACAGATTCTCATTTCCCATGACATCTGCCTGCCACAGGATTCAGCCAACCCAACTCCTGAGTTAACATCCCTGGGCCAACAACTTGAATCAACTCAGAAGTTGGCTATTGAAGAGACTCCCAGAAGGTAGACCTCCCTCAAACTCCTTCCTGGATTGTCATCTTCAGGACGCATAGAGTTGAATATCCTCTTTTCTCTCAAAGATCAAACTAGCTTTCACCTCCCTAAGATTAGATAGGCTGCCAAAGTTTAATTTTTCAACGGATCCTACTGTGAGTTAAAACCCCACCCTGGCTTGTGCTGGGAAGTTCAAAGCTCCTTGAAGTTCAGAAGAACGGAAGAACTTCTTCAGAACTGAAGAAGCTTCTTGGATGAGAAGCGAAACGTCTTCCAAGAAAAACAAAGAAAGCTCAGTTGCCTCTTGAAAAAGCACCTTTGGGACAATTATGATCTGGAGCAGGGGTCTCCAACCGTGGCAACTTTCAGACTTGTGGACTTCAACTCCCAGAATTCCTCAGCCAGCAAAGCAAAGCCACAAGTCTTAAAAGTTGCCAAGGCTGGAGACCCCTGATCTGGAAGACTGAGAATCTCCACAGACACGGTTTTCTTTGTAACTCTTAAGATGCCTTTTTCTCATCTTGTTTTTCACCTTGCAAAACATAAAGCTTAGTGAATTATTAAGAAGTAAGAAGATGAAATGAATAGGCAGGAAAAAAAAAATTCAGGCTTGGGCAGCCTCTGTAAAATAAATAAATAAAGGAAGCCACATTTGCAATAGAGAGTCCTTGGGTTTAATGAGGAGGTTTGGTTGCCTGGGTAGATAATTTTCTGGGGACTGATAAGGATGGCCTTGCTGAGCCACTGAGCCATCAAAATAATTAACAATATCATAGTGAAGGTGACGGGACCTGCAAAAATGGCTAAACTGATCAGAGAAACGACAATATCTACATTTATCAGTGACTGGAAGCCCATTAGGAAAAAAATGAATTTGCGATTTATAGATTATATTAGATTAGAATTCTTTATTGGCCAAGTGTGATTGGACACACAAGGAATTTGTCTTTGGTGCATATGCTCTCAGTGTACATAAAAGAAAAGATACATTCATCAAGAATCATAAGGTACAACACTTAATGATAGGCATAGGGTACAAATAAGCAATCAAATCATACTAGGAAACAGTCAGTATAAATCGTAAGGATACCAGCAACAAGGTTACAGTCATACAGTCATAAGTGGGAGGAGATGGGTGGTGGGAACGATGAGAAGATAGTTTTATAGTTTTGATGAGAAGGCAGGATAGGTTATAGAAAGAAGAGAGTCTTGATGCAACTTTAGAGAGAGCAGTTAAAATGTTCTGAAGATGTTCAGAAGCCAGTTCTTTACATATTTTTTTTTAAATTTTCTTCTTTTTCTACTTTTATTTTCTTTCCTTTTTTTCTTTTTTGTATCTTTAACTTTTTCTTTTATTTCTCCCTTTCTTTCTACTTATTACTCCCTTTCTACTTTAGTTTGTCTTACTTCTTACTACTGTTGTTAAAACTTTGAATAAAAACATGCATATATGTATAAAAAAAATTAACAACAGGAAATCAACTCTCTAGGAATTTTTTTCTGAAATGGAAGGTCCTTTTTAGGATAGGTGGAAAGTGGCTAAGGAGAACTCCGTCTCTGTTTTCCGGGAGAGTAATTTTGTTTAGAACTTTGATTACCTATCTGATCAATAGAAATAAAAACAGGAAGGAAAATTATAAATAATTTTGGGTCTTTTGTTCTTCCATGAACTATTTTTGAAAAGGGGATTCTGGAACCCTGGTAGCTTTTTTTTTTTTTTTTTAAATTTAGAGTATCTGAAAATCATTTAAAAATCTTTAGGCAGGAAGGAATTTAGAGTGGGAAAAAACTGCATGATTTTCACAAGTTGAGTATTATTTATTTTCATGACTGTGTTTATACACACAAGAGAAAATGTTTGAACACCAATGTTTCTCTTTTCCTGCCGGATCTTATCATTATTTTAAAGTTTGAAGAATAATGTAACACAAAGTTGCCAAAGTATTCTTGTAAGGCATGTGGAAAATAATGGACAGTTTCCCCTTAAAAAAATAAAATAACCGTTTTATTGTATCAATCTAAGATAAAAAGTAACTGGATGTGAAAATATGATTACATTCAAAAATTAAGACTTTCCACTTTTTGCTCTAAGGTAAAGTTTATTTTATGTATGAAGAAGTACTCCTTTCCCATTTCTTTGTTTTTGCTCTTTTGTTTAGATTTTTTTTTAAAAAAGATTCAATGCATGCGTTACTTTAAAGGGAAGAAAAAACTGTTAACAACTAGAAACAAATTTGTTAAGTTTTTAAAACTCTCTTAGTTGGGCCACCCTGCCTGCTGTTTCACACCTCTGTCAGCTTTACATTTTGAGACCATTTTGATTGATTGATTGATTTTATCAGATTTCTATACCGCCCTTCTCCTTTCGGACTCAGGGCGGTGAACAGCCAAAGTAAAACATTTGTACACAAAAGTTAAAATAGATTTAAAATAATTTAATAAGTTTGGCTCATAATTTAAAACATTTCAATTTAAAACCAATTTCAAATTTTAAAAACCCACCATAAAATCAGGACAGCCTGATTTCTTATTCCACCTTCAGCTCCTAAATGATGCCGATGTAAAAACACAACTTCTATTTCCTAAGTTTTCTAGGGAAGCTGAACTTTTTGGAGGCGTCAATGACTTTGATGAAAATCCATCAACGAGAGAAATATTGAAAACACCTATCTCTTGCAACAACCTGTTACTTAGATCCTTCTTCAGAGGGCTGGACCACTAACAAATAAAATGACAGTAATGAAAAAAATAAGGAGAACTGAGCCCCGTTTTCTCCTGCTTACCTGGTTGGCATATCGCCTGGGTAACTTCTTCACCATGTCTAGTTCCATGTCTTCATGATCTCCATCAGCCTTGGCTGTCTCTCCCTCCTTCTCCGTCTCTCTCTTCTTCTCCTCCTCCTCCTCCTCCTCCTCTGTGTAGGTCCAATCATCCTCCGCCAGCCTTCTGGCATGATTTATATAGTCCAGCCGCTTACTTGACAGAGAGAGAGAGAGAGAGGAAAAAAAACCCCCTAAAATCAAGATTAACCCTACAGGGGAAGAAACACCTCAAAGGGACAGTAATGAGGTGAGCTCAACATTTAGATGTTCTGCACAAAGGGTCGCCTTGGGAAGAAAAATGGGATTAATTTTCTTGAATGTAGGAAGTCTTCGCTTAAGGACGGATCGCTTAAAGACTGTTTGACGTTGTGATGGATCTCCAAAAAGGGAGAAGGAGGGAAGGAGGAAAACAGGGAGGAAAGGAAACTGGAAGGAGGGAGGAAGGAAGGAAGGAAGAGGAAAGGATGGAAAATTGAGGATAGTGAGGAGGAAGGGAGAAAACAAGGAAGAAAGGAAAATGGAGGGAGGATAATGAGAAGGAAGAATGAAAGGAAGGAAGGAAGGAAGGAAGGAAGGGGAAATGGGAGGGAGAATAGTGGGAAGGAAGGAAGGAAGGAAGGAAGGAAGGAAGGAAGGAGAGAAAGGGGAAAATGGGAGGGAAAATAGTGGGAAGGAAGGAAGGAAGGAAGTTCAAACATCATGTTTTTATTGCTATGGTTCCTTTTAGTCTGAGCTGCCCTTTATAAATTTTTGCTTAAACTGTTTTTAATCGGCTACCTGGATACCATAAGCACCTCTGAGACTTTCTGGAGCAGCCATAATAAATATATAATAAAAATAACTACATTTTTAAAAGGAAAGAAATAGCAACTAAGTGGGGTGTTCTCTGCTCCAAACCGTGCAGGGGAAAAAACCCTCTGATTCTCCAGAGGAGCCGTTCGAAGGCCCTCCTCACCCCGCAGTGGGGCAGGACAAGAGACTTGCTGGCTTTAATGCCGGGGGTGGGGGCCTCTCTTACGTCTTCTGAAACTCCAGCAGCCGCCGGCGTCTCTCGCCCTGCTCCAGGGAGCTGTACTTGGGCTTGTACTGGGCCAGGCGCGGGTGTGGAGCTGCGGGGCTGTTCAGGTCCTGCGAGACGACAAAGTTGCAGGCCAGAGCCTGGCTCAGCTCCTCCATTCTTCCTCTGGGGTAGCCTGGATGGAGGAAGGAATATAACAGATTAATAAGAGTTGGAAGGGACCTTGTAGGTCATCTAGTCCAACCCCCCACCCAAGCAGGAGACCCTCCACCATTTCTGACAGATGGCAGTCCAGTTTCTTCTTGAAAGCCTCCAGTGATGAAGCTCCCACAACCTCTGAAGGCAACTTCTGTTCCATTGGTTGATTGTTCTCACTGTCAGGAAATTCCTCCTTATTTCTAGGTTGAATCTCTTCTTGGCCATTTTCCATCCATTATTCCTTACCTGGCCTTTGGGAGATTTGGAAAATAGCTTGACCCTGTTCTGGCCCAGCCTTAGCAGAAGCAAGAAACAGACTCCTGGCCACGAAAAAAACCCCTTTTATTTTCCTCTTGTGAATTAATGGCAGTCACCCACCAAAAAGTCCAAGCGATAGTCCTTCAAGGAGTTAAATGCTGCAACAGACCTTATCAATTCCTTGGGATAATTGTCAGGCCGTGAACTCCCCGCCCCAAAGGCTGCAAAGTAAGTTCTGGCAAGCAGTCCCACAGGGCCAAAATCTTCAGAAATACGAACGGTTGTCTCCTACGACCACCACTCCCCTTTCCTTCTATTTATTCCCCAGCCAAGGAGGGGCCATTCAGCGTCCACATGTGCTTTGCTTCCCGAGTTGACTCCTTGTCCGGGGTCTCCAACCTTTGGCCACTTTAACAGTTGTGGACTTCAATTCCCAGAATTCCCCAGCCAGCCATGCTTTTTAGGGAATTCTGGGCGTTGAAGTCCACGAAGCCTTAAAGTTATCGAGGTTGGAGACCCCGTCAATCCAGGATAGTCCTCTACTTACCACCATTTGTTTAGTGGCTGTTCCACAAATAACCCTGAAAAAAAGTTGCTCCTCGTACTTACAACCGTCATTATAAGGTTCCCCAGGATCATGTGATCAAAATTTGGGTTGCTCGGCAACCGGAATGTATTTACAAGGGTTTGCAGCATCCCAGAGCCAGCCAGCCTCCGACCAGCAAAAGTCAATGGCGGGGGGAAGGGGGGAAAGTCAGACTCATTTAATGACCGTGTGATTCACTTAACGACTGCAACGTCTCGCTCAACAGCCACGGCCAAAGAGGTTATAAAATCAGGCTCTTGCCCCAAGTTTGATGCCCAGCCACCCCATCCTGGAGGGATGCTGTAGGCCCCGCCAGCTTGATCCACCTTCCACCAGAGGGCTGGTGCTGCAACACCCATCATCCCCAGCCAGGATGGGAACCGTAGTCCAACCTTTCCTTGCAGGGGTAGGAAGAAGAGAGAGGAATCCAAAGAGGGAGGGAAGAGGAGATTTCCCACCCCCACCCCCACCTCAGAGGTCGGCTTGAATGCACTCTGCACATGCCCAGGGGACTGATTTTTTTGTTTTTAAATGAACATCCCTTTCACTCTCACAATCCGGGGACGAGGACCAGGGAGGGAAAGAAGGACTGATGGCCTGGAGAAAAGACCCCGCCCGGAGGTCGTCTCCGCCTCTCAACGCTTACCCAACCCAGCTTCGCTCGCCGCCAGGCGGGATTCGAACCCGCGAACTCGCCTTCCCGAGAGCGCGGCCAACGGAAGCGCGCCCTGCCCCGCCCCTTCCGCGATTGCGTCACAGTGCGAGGGGCGGGGTTTCCGGAAGGGCCTTCGGAAGGGCCGCTCCGCCTCTTCCTCTTCGCCTTCTCCACCTCCCTCCTTTCGCTTGGAACGTGCAAGCGGCGCATGCGCGCAGCTTTAAATGGAACGTCCAGCTGGCTTCGCTGCAAGCCCCGTTTGGAGGCATGCGCGGATCAAGAGGCGGGGCTAAACTAGAGCTTGCCCCTCCCCTTCCATCCAGCATCTTCGCCCTTTAGATTGGGGGGGGAGGGGGCGCCTAACCACCCTGAAATGTGGTTTGCAATCCAAACTTTCCATTTTTTTTTAAACTAGTGTTGGTGCAACTTGGCTGCTTTAAGAGGACTGGACTTCAACTCCCAGAACTCCCCAGCCAGCTTGGTTTTGCTTTCCTGGCTTGGCTTGGCTTGCTGAGGAATTCTGGGAGTTGAAGTCCAGCCCTCTTAAAGCAGCCACGTTGCGCCAATCCTGAGATAGATGCTTTGATTGCCTGCTTTGATGCAGCAAAGCCATAAAGGACTTTTGGTTTTCCAACCATGGGGGTCATTTTTGGAGAGGCAACCTTTGCACGCCGTCCAAACTTCATTGGAGACTGAGCGGGTTGGGATGGCCAACGTCAATCCCCAGATTGGGATGGACGCCCAAGCCGCGGGATGGATCCTGGCACCTGTGAGGCTGAGCAACCTGGCTCAGGCCAGGATAGGGCAGGTGGCAACTGCACAACCCTGGAGGCTTTCCGATGGAGCCGGACTCCACCTTGTGAGGCCAAGCTATCCCCCTTGGTGCCAGGCTCCCCAAAAGAGAGGAGCAGTTTGTGTAGGTGGCTGGTTGGCTTGGAGGCATCTCGTGACCCAATAGGAAGCCTCTCTCGATCACCCCAACTCAGAGAGCCCCTCTAAAACTCCTTGCTTGCAAGTCATGATGTCATACCCGGCAGAAGAGCATCGGTGTGGGCTCTGGGTTGAACTGTGGGGTCCTCTGAGCTTGGTTATTTGCTTGCAGGCGTTTCGTGACCCAACTAGGGAACATCATCAATGCTACTAGGGAATGGGGGAGGAGGAGGAGGATTGTGGTGTCCTCTGAACTTGGGGTTTAGGGGGCAGGAGGAGGAGGAGGAGGAGGAAGAGAACTGTGTGTCCTCTGAGCTTTGCTTGCAGGCGTTCGTGACCCAACTAGGGAACATCATCAATGCTACTAGGGAATGGGGTTTAGGGGGCAGGAGGAGGAGGAGGAGGAAGAGGAAGAGGAGGAGGACGTCTGTGGTGTCCTCTGAGCTTTGCTTGCAGGCGTTTCATGACCCAACTAGGGAACATCATCAATGCTACTAGGGAATGGAGGAGGAGGATTGTGGTGTCCTCTGAACTTGTTTATTTACTTGCAGACGTTCCATGACCCAACCAGGTAATATATCATCAGAGTGCTAAGAGGGAGTGGGCTTTGCAGAGGGAAGGAGAGGGGAGGAAGAGGACGACGGGGGGTCCTCCTGATACTCTCTGAACTAGGGGCTCATGAAACGTCTGCAAGCAAATCACCAAGTGCAGAGAGCACCAAACACCCTCCAGGATTTCCAAGAGTTGCAATTCAGCCGCCGTCCTCGGTTTCGCAACAGCGCCGGTGGTTTTCCTATTGACCGTCTCCCCCCCCCCCCCCTCCGCGCGCGTAGTGAAAACAATCCGGTGGAGCTCCCCCCGCGGAGAGAGGGAGGGAGAGAACCCCCCCCACCCACCCAACGAGGGCTGGAAGCGCCGGCCGCCTCCCCAGTCCCGTGCCAGGGCCGAGCCGGAGCGTCAAGGCGGCGCCCTCCGCGGCGGCTGCCAATAGAGGGCGGCCGCAGGTTGGCCCGCCCGCCCGCTGCGTCCGCGGGTCGCTTTGCGCCCGGCGCCTTTGGCAAAAGTTCGCGGCTGCAGCAGCTGCGCCCGTGCGTCATGGAACAGCCCGGCGGGTGAGCTGCGCCCAGGAGCGCGGAGGCAACCGAGCCTTGTGGTCTCGCTACCCTACGGAAGGACGGGGGGGACCCAACGAGGCCAACTGCGCCCCCCACCCCCGGAGAGACCCGGCTGCTGCCGCTGCCAGCGGGGCGCACGGAGGAACCCCCCCCTCTTGCCAGCCCCGCGGAGAGGCGGACGGGCATTGCGCCCCAGCGAGGTGGCCGCGCGTTCCTCTGCAGGAGAACCGTTTGGCTGCGCTCGAGGGGCACCCGGATCGTGTAAGGTGCCTCGGCCGCCCGGCGCCACCAGAGGAGGGGACTCCGCCAGCGCCCTGTCCCTTGGAAGCGCCTGCGGTGGAACCGGTTGGACTGCCTGCCCGGACACCCGTCGGCCCCGCGCGCCTCTCCAAAAAAAAAAGGGGGTCTCCGCCGCCCTCCCGCTCCCCCCACTTTGTCTCCCTGCCAGTCCTGCAAACTTTCTTCCTGACTTCTCCAAGCTCTGCAGTGGATGGGTGTCCCTTCTTCCTCTCCTGGGCTTCCACCCTCTTCCTCCTCCTCTTCCTCGCGCAATCGGCTTTCCCGGGGCTTTGCTGCCAAGTCAAACGGGCGCACGCAAATCCAGTCTCCCGGGCAGCGACCCGCGTCCTTCCTCTTTACTTCTGATTTTTTCTCTCTCTCTCTCTCCTAAATCTACCCTGTTGGCGATCTGTTTTTGAACGCTGTCCTGGTTTCTGAACCGCTGGAAATCGTCTAGGGGGAGAGTGCGAGAGAGCGAGCAACAAAAGAGACATCTTCGGAGCGCCCCGAGGGATTTTACGCTTGGCTGGTGGATCTGAATCGGTTGGCAGAAAGCGCTTCGGTGGGTTGGGAGGAGGACACCTTGGTGGGGGAACTCTCTGCTTGCTTTGGAGGATCTGCTTCTTCCTTGCCCCCAAAGTTTCAGGTCCTGCAAAGAGGTAAAACTTTCTATTTAGGGGCCTGTTTATCTTTTCTTTCCCCCCCCTCTCTCTTCCTTTTTTTTATTTTTTGTTTTTTTTTTTTGTGGCCAAAAAACAAGGGGTTTGTTTTTGGTGGAAGAGACAGCAACAGATTCACGTGGACTTTGTTGTGTGTGTGGACTGAGGCGTGACCTCTGGATGGAGAGGAGTTGATTTGTAGCTTTTTCACATTTTTCCTCCACCCTTCGGGAGCCTGGTGGGCTTCCAATCTGATCCAACGGGGATTATTATTCAGCCTTGCAAAACATTTCTGGTTTATAAGATCCGGGACTTCTCTTCCTGGTTTTTCCCCTTCCAGAGAGGCTTGGGTTGAAAGGCTGAGGAATCCTGAATTGCCCTGTATTTCTCTTTATTGTTAAAAAAGAAAAAGAAAACCTGGTTTTTCTTAATTGTAGACCAAACAGATTTAGAACGCACAGACCGAATATCTTCGGATCAAGATGCTTAATTCTGACCTATAATTTCAGTCTTCCAAGAGAGACCTGACATTGACGGATACCCTATGGGCTGCTTTGATACGGCTACAGTAATGAGCCTTTTCTGCTTTTCCTGGTCCCTGCCTGAGGTCTGTGACCCCGAGGAAAATGCTCTTTGCTTTGTCCCATTCTTAACCTCCCTCCGGTGATTGGGAAAGCAAGCAACTGCCCGTCTTAAACCTCCTTCTGTAAAAACACCAGATGGTTTTGTTCTTTGGACATAGTCTTCTTCTGCTCTTTGTTTCGAGCCGTTGCCGAGTCTGCTGCAGGCCTTGCTAGCTTCCTGGGGACGGCCCCCTTTTCAACAGCACCCAGGGGGGGTTGGGGGCAGAGACCCGGCCGCCTCACCGGACACCCCCATGGCAATCCGGGCGCGAGCGCTCTACGATTTCCAGAGTGAGAACAAGGAAGAAATCAGCATCCGTGAGAATGAAGAGTTGATGCTTTTCAACGAGAAGTCCCTGGATGGATGGCTGCAAGGCACCAACTCTCGAGGGGAGACGGGCCTGTTCCCCGCCTCTTATGTGGAGATCCTTCGCTCCAGGTCCTCCTCCACTTATACCAACAGTCCTGCTGGTTCTCCTGGAAACGGCTCCTCCTTCTACGTCCCCTCGTCCGTCCCCGGCATTCCCCACCAGGGCAGCTTTGAAGATGATGACGATGATTGGGACGATTGGGACGACGAAAGCACGGTGGTGGAGGAACCCAGGAGCGGGGCAGGGACCAACGGGCACCCCTCGCCAAGCCTGTCCTATCCCAGGCCCTACGCGCCTCACCCCAACAACGTTGGCGGTCGGGCCAAGCCATCTCTGGAGAGGCAGGACAGCATCGGGTCTTCCAAGAGAGGCAGCGTGGTGAGTCGGAACCTCAACCGTTTCTCCAGCTTTGTCCGCTCTGGAGTGGAGGCCTTCGTTTTGGGAGACGTGCCCATGATGGGCAAGATCTCAGAGGCCTACTACATAGACATGGGCTCGAAAGGTCCACAGTGGAGAGCCAGCCCACACCCTTTCCTCTGCTCTGTGGAAGAGCCCACCAAACAGACCAAGTTCAAAGGCATCAAGAGCTACATCTCCTACCGCCTGTCGCCCAGCAACGGCAATTCGCCGGTGTACCGGCGCTACAAACACTTTGACTGGCTGTACAACCGCCTGTTGCACAAGTTCACCGTCATCTCGGTGCCCCACCTGCCGGAGAAGCAAGCCACGGGGCGCTTCGGGGAGGACTTCATCGAGAAGCGCAAACGGAGGCTGATCTTGTGGATGGACCACATGACCAGCCACCCAGCGCTCTCCCAGTACGAGGGCTTCCAACACTTCCTCAACTGCGGGGACAACAAGCAGTGGAAGATGGGGAAACGCCGGGCGGAGAAGGACGAGATGGTGGGGGCTAGCTTCCTCCTGACCCTCCAGATCCCAACCGAGCACCAAGACCTGCAGGATGTGGAGGACCGAGTGGACACCTTCAAGGCCTTCAGCAAGAAGATGGACGACAGCGTTCTGCAGTTGACCAGCGTAGCTTCTGAGCTGGCCAGGAAGCACGCCGGGGGCTTCCGTAAAGAGTTCCAAAAACTGGGCAATGCTTTCCAAGCCGTCAGCCAAGCCTTCCAGATGGACCCACCTTACAGCTTTGATGCCCTCAACAATGCCATCTCCCACACGGGCAAGACCTACGAGATGGTGGGGGAGATGTTTGCCGAGCAGCCCAAGAACGACTTGTTCCTCATGTTGGACAGCCTTTCCTTGTACCAGGGACTCCTCTCCAACTTCCCAGACATCATCCATCTTCAGAAAGGTAAATCCTTCTCTTTTGGCCCTGAAGGACCGAGATAACAATGTGGCAGAACCTGTCTTAAGCGGGATGCCCCTTGGGGATAGGCAGGCAGAGAGATTGGTTGGTTGGCTTCTTTCTTGGTTTGAAGGCAGGCTGGAGCCAGGATTGTTGGCTCATCTTGCAGCCTCTTCGCCTTTCATCCCATGGAAAGTCCTTTTGAGGCTTCCCAAAAGGCCGGAGCAAACGTTTCAGCCCCCCAGGAGAGGGCAAGGAGTGAAAGGGATGCAAATGGCAGCGGGAGGAGTGTCTGCCTTTTGCAATTGCAAATGCACAGCGCTCAGAGTTAGGACAGCAGCCTCTGGGGAATTCTAAGAGTTGAAGTCAGAGTAGCAGAGTTGGAAGCGGCCTCGAGGTCTTCTAGTCCAAGGGTCTCCAACCTTGGCAACTTTAAGACTTGTGGACTTCAACTCCCAGAATTCCTCAGCCAGCAAAGCTTTAGTGGCTGGGGAATTCTGGGAGTTGAAGTCCACAAGTCTGGCCCACCCCCAAATAAAGTTAGGGACCACTGGATTGATCTAATTCCTATATTAGTGGGAGGCCAACTTCCTCAATATATGATTAAGAAAAGAGCAGACAGAGATAAGACGCCCTGTTTACACAGCCATCACTAGACAGCCTGAAGAAATCCATCATTACAATATCTCTAGGAAACCGACCTTGGCTTTTCCTGGTTGGAAGAGAGGGGAAGGAAGGAGGGGTGGCCCCAGCAGGAAAAGGAGACGCTGATCTCACAAACCGGTTGCCAGGAGATCACGCCACTTCTCTGCAATACCTCCCAGGTGTGCTCCACCTGTTTTCCTTTTAAAGTTAAAGCAGGAAGTGGGCCTGCTGCAAAGGTAAACCGATCCAGGTAAACCAGGAGAGAGAACGTTGGGGGCCTCTGAAGGATGCGATGGCATGCAGCCGTCTTGTCTTTGGATAACGGGGGCATCGCTGGTCTTGCCTCACCTGTTGGGAGGCCGCAGAAGGTTGGCAGACACATTCCAAGGGCTCAGAGGGCAATTGACGTGTCTGTGTGTCTGTGTGTGAGAAAGAGAAGCAAATGGTTCCCACAGGAGGAGGAGGAGGAGAGATCCCATGTGTTCAAGAAGCTACTGTGGAAGACGAGTAGGGGCAAGTAAGGGAGATGGGCCTGTGGGTAAGCAGTGAGCAGCTGAATAGGAGGAGATAGGAGGAGAGGTAGCCATCGACTTACGACCACAGTTGAGAGTAGTATTTCCTTGGCTAAGCAAAGCGGTTGATATGTGAGCCAGGCCTGACTTTATGATCTGTTTTGCCATGGTTATTAAATGAATTGCTGCAGTTATTAAGTGAGTCACCCTTAATGAATCTAGCATCCCCCATTCATGTTGCTTGTTGGAAGCTGTTGGGAAGTCACAAATAGTGATCACATGAAGAAAGATAGAGATTAAATAGATACTGGTAGGTAGGTGGGTGGGTGGGTGGATGGATGGATGGATAGATAGATAGATATGATCAATAGATGGATGGATGGATGGATGGATGGATAGATGATAGATAGCTAGATAGCTAGATGATAGATGATGGATGGATGGATGGATGGATGGATGGATGGATGGATGGAGAAATATAGATATAGATAAATAGATGATAGTAGATGATAGATAGATAGATAGATAGATAGATAGGTAGATAGATAGATAGATAGATAGATAGATAGATAGATAGATAGATAGATAGATAGACATGATCAATGGATGGATGGATAGATGATGGATGGATGGATGGATGGATAGATGATAGATAGATGAGATGATAAATAATAGATAGAGATGGATAAATAGATAGATACTAGATAGATGATAGATATAGATATATAGAGATAAATAGATGACAGTTAGATGATAGTAGATAGATGATAGACAGGCAGACAGTCTATACAGTTCCTCCACTCAGCCATAAGGCAAGACAGAATCCCTTTGGAAGCAGAAAACTGAGCAACCTGGGAGGTGAAGTCGAGGTCCTGCTCAGGCCAAACAGCCTTCAAAGGAGGCCACATCTCTGCCAGGGAACCTCTTCAGGAGAGGATGGCGTTCCCTGAAGAGAGAGCAGAAGAGAGAGCAGAGGGTCCCCAGACACCCCTGAGCCATCTCCGTAGGGGTATCTGCACTGAGAGAGGAGGGGGGTACTTGTGTAGTGCCGCTACAGAAGGGCAGAATCCTGTCAACCTGAAGGCCAGGAGGAACCTCAGAATGGCAATGCAGAAGAAGCTGGCGTGTCCTCTTTGGGAAAAAACCCACAAGTTTTGAGGCTGGGCACCTGCGTGGATGGGTTACAAGGTTAGCTTTGCCCATGGACTTTTAGCTGAAAAGGTCTTTTAGCTTTGGCTGAAAGCTTCCTGGGCAGAAGTTCTCCAACCAGGAAGTAGGAGAGCTTGTCTGGCTGGGCAGGTCGAACCGGCTGAAGGCAAACACTGACTTTAGCCGGAGGTTAGAGGAACAAGCTCCAGAGATTAAAGCTGTCTCTAAAGATAGAGCTGTGCTCTTAATACATCTCGGAATGGCTAGGTAGGAGAACTCTGATCGGCTTTGATTGGGTGGCTTCAGGGATGTCCACTTTCTTAAAATCACACTTGGAGCCCGGAGGGAAGCGGAAGGATTATCTTGGCTGCAAAAAAACCCAAAACCTTGCAGGTTGCAGGGATGGAGTGAATTCCTTTCCAGTGGAAAAACCCTGGATCTTTGGAGAGCCACAGGGAGCAATCCTCGCCAGGTTTTTTGCAAATCGTTTTCTCCAGGATAAAGAAGGCTTGGAACAGGAATATATATATATATATATATATATATATAAATTTGGTATAAAATGGTTTGTCGTGAATGCGACTGCCTGAGGGCTCCTGGATTGGAGCTGAAAGGCGAAAGGGAAGCAGGAGGCTCCCTCCCATATTGGGGTAGACCAGGTGCTTCAATAGAAAAACACTTTATATATATGTATATATGTATATACATACATACATACATACATACATGTATGTATGTATCAAATTTATATTTCGCTGATAAAGAAATAAAGGGAGACTAGTGTAGATTTATTTCAAGCTATTTAGTTCTCATCAGCTAGCCATACCCCTACTCGGATTTGAACTTGGGCTGCCTGCATATTAGGCAGTTGTATTAACTTCTGAGTCACAAGTTCTCCTCCCTTTATCAACTGAGCCAGGGGAGAGATTGTCGGTGAATGTGACTGCCTGAGGGCTCCTGGATTGGAGCTGAAAGGCGAAAGGGAAGCAGGAGGCTCCCTCCCATATTGGGGTAGACCAGGTGCTTCGACAGAAAAAACACTTAATATATATGTATATATGTGTGTGTGTGTGTATGTGTGTGTATACATACATGCACATACATATACATACATACACACACACATATGCACCTACTCAGGAGCATTCTTAATAATTTGTGGATTTATGTTCTTGCAAATGCTAAGACGGCTTTGCAAACAGACTATGATATATCATCGGAACTGCAGAATACAAATAGTCCTCGATTTATAGCCATTCGTTTACTGACCGTTCAAAGTTACAGCGGCACTGTAAAAAAAAAAAGATGTATGACTGGTCCTCGCACTTCCGACCATTGCAGCACCCCTACAGCCACGTCAAAATCTGCTTGGCAACCAGCATGTATTTACAATGGTTGCAGCATCTCTAAGTCATGTGACACCTCCCCCCCCCCATGGGTGACCTTCCCCGCCGACCTCTGACGAGCAAAGTCGGGGGGGTGGGGTGGAAATGTCGATTCACTTAATGACTGCGTGATTGGCTTAATAACTGCAGTGATTTAACTCAGTCCTGGTGAAAGTGTCATAAAATTGGGTGTGACTCCCTTGCCTTGCTTAGCCATGGAAATTCTGCTCCCGGTTGGTGGTCGTAAGTTGAGAACTGCCTGTTTGGTAGACCAGCGTTTCTCAACTTTAGCAACTTGGAAGACAGACGGACTTCAACTCCCAGAATTCCCCAGCCAGCATGTCCCCCCTGCTTCCGGTGTCCATTCAATAGGATTCCATTAAACAGACGGTTTTATTAGGTGTGTATTGACAACTCAGGTGTAGGAGAGACAAGACCTATCCCCTTTTCCCCATCCCAGCCTAATCTCTGCAGAATTATTCAGGAGTTTAAAAAAAAGGGTGTTAAAAGACTGTGTTCCTTCCGTTCTTCTATAGGACTGTAATAAATCTGAATTACATTTCCATTGCAATAAGAGAAATCTTTCAGGCTCCTTCCTCATCTAGGCGTCTGCAATAGTTATGCAGATCAGCGGGTAATTCAGTTGGAAATGCCTCTCTTATTTTTCTACTAGGTGGAAAACAACTTGCTTCCTCTCCCCTTACGCTCGCTCGTTAGAAATTTGGGGATTGGATCGGGACCAGTGATGGGATTCTGCCAGTTCGCACCACTTTGGGAGAACCAGTTGTTAACTTTCTGAGCAGTTTGGCAAACTGATTGTTGGAAGAAATCAATAGGGCAGAGAACCGGTTGTTAAATTACTTGAATCCCACCACTGATCGGGACCTATAACTTTGTAGATCAGGCCCAAGGTTTTTGCAAAACACTTCCCTGCGTGCCTCATTTAATGTCTATAATAGGCAACCATCCGTCTTGACCTTAGCTGGGTGGCCAAGAGAAGCTCGGACGGCCAGGATTAATATTTAAAAGGCTTCCCAGTTCAAAACACACAAAGGGCCACTGTGCAGAGTTGCACATTTTTCTGTGCCATGTCGCACAAGTGTCTTATCTCAATGGCTCAAGTCCCGGACATCAGCAGAAAACTAATATTAACAGAGGCAGCATTCATGCGTGTGTCCAAGTTACAATTCCTTAACAGCATCCATACAGCACTTATGCTGAAATCTTTTATGGTTGCATCTTCATCAATCACTTGGACGAGGGGATAGATGGGGAACTGATCAAATTTCCAGATGACACCAAGCTGGCAGGAACAGCCAACACTCCAGAAGATAGGCTCAAGATCCAGAAGGATCTTGACAGACTTGAACATTGGGCACTTTCTAACAAAATGAAATTCAACAGTGAAAAAAGTAAGGTTCTACATTTAGGCAAGAAAAACAAAATGCACAAGTACAGAATAGGTGGTACCTCGCTCAATAGTAGTAACTGTTAGAGGGATCTTGGAGTCCTAGTGGACGACCATTTAAATAGGAGCCAGCCGTGTGCAGCAGCTGCCAAAAAAGCCAACACAGTTCTAGGCTGCATCAACAGAGGGAGAGAATCAAGATCACGTGAAGTGTTAATACCACTTTATAAGGCCTTGGTAAGGCCACACTTGGAATCCTGCATCCAGTTTTGGTCACCTTAATTCCAAGTTGCTTCTCCCCTTGATTAGTTTCCACCCATTGCTTCTTGTTCTACCCTCAGGTGCTTTGGAGAATAGCTTGACTCCCTCTTCTTTGTGGCAGCCCCTGAGATATTGAAACACTGCTATCATGTCTCCCCTAGTCCTTCTTTTCATTAAACTAGACGTACCCAGTTCCTGCAACTGTTCTTCATATGTTTGAGCCTCCAGTTCCCTAATCCTCTTGGTTGCTCTTCTCTGCACTCTTTCTAGAGTCTCAACGTCTTTTTTTACATCCAAAACTTGATGCAGGATTCCAAGTGTGGCCTTACCAAGGCATTAGAAAGCTATTGTAAACTATCAAAAACTATTGTGCGTGCAGCCGATGCTCCCTGAGGCTTAAATATCTATGAACGACAGAAGAATGATTTGAAAGTTCAACAGGCGTGACAGAATTTGCTACCTGTCCCTGAGCAGCACATTCCATAAGGGGAATCTGGGGACAAGGTGGTTTGGCTGGCGTGGTTTATCTCCCTGGTGATTCATACACAACGCCAAAGCCACACCTGTCGATTCAAGGTGAAGTTGGCCCAGACTGATGTATTTTTTTCTCCCAAAAGTCTGAATCATGGGGGGGGTGGGAAATGTTTACAGGCCCTGAGACGTGCAAGCAGAGGTAGCAACGGAGGCCCCGTTGCATAACTCCTGAATTTGCGAGAACATCAGCAAGACAAGGGTTGCAGCACAGGAGAAGCCGTAGTTCAGGGAACAATCCGCGATTGCCTGGGTCGAGTTGTAGCTGGCATGTTGTACATGACACCATGGATGGGTTCACCCAGGGACTCAAATGGCAAACTTGGGTTGATGAAAATAAAGACAATCAGGGATGTCCCAAAGATGATTTTCAAAAGACAACGGGGGGTTTTTTTCCCCTTGAAAATAGTTTGCTTCTGATCCAAGAAGCTTCTTTGGGTCTCAGAAACTTCTTGGATGAAAAGCGAAATGTTTTTAAGGGGAAAAAACAACAACCAAGAAAGTCCAATTGCCTTTTGGAAAAGCACCTTTGGGACAATCGTGACCTGGTTGACTGAGAATCTCCTTAAACCAGAGGTCTTCAAACTTGGCAGCTTTAAGACTTGTGGACTTCAAGTCTTAAAGTCAAGTCTTAAAGCTGCCAAGTTTGAAGACCTCTGCCTTAGACAATCATGATTGCCATGTGGGCAGACATGGAGAAATGGGGGAGCAGGACATCTTGCCCATTTCCCCAAATTCTTTGGCGTGATAGAATGAAATAAGGTGGATGAAGATGGTGATGATGAATTATAAACAGATACTCTTCCAGCTCCTGAATAAAACTCAGGTCTTCCGCAGAGACCACAAATCAGAAGTCTCATTGCACATTTTCCATCAAGCCAATTTGTGAGCTACAACTCACTTCATTACCAAAAATTCACGCCTAGCTTTTGAAGTGAGCTCAGGAAATCCAAGGCCTTTGACTCGAATAGTCAACTCAAGAGATGCTTACAGAACTTCTCTTTAACTGTTGGCCATCGTAGACTTCCTTGATGTTACAACAGCCAGTCAGTGAAACAATTTGCCTCCAGAAGTTGTGGCTGCTCCATCCCTGGAGGTTTTTAAGAAGAGATTGGACAATTGTTTGTGTGAAATGGTAGAGGGTTCCTGCGTGAGCAGGGGGTTGGAGTAGGAGTCCTCCAAGGTCCCTCCCAACTCTGTTATTCTGACTAACACAGTTCTCTTCATTCTGGAAAATTCTTTCCTCTCGCTTGCCCAACTCAACGTTGGTCAGTCCGATCTCCGGAGGGCTTTATAACCTCAGTGAGCCGTCTTTTTGCTTTCCACCCACAGGTGCGTTTGCCAAAGTGAAGGAGAGCCAGCGGATGAGCGACGAAGGGAAAATGGACCAGGAGGAGGCAGACGGGATCCGGAAGCGTTGCCGAGTGGTTGGTTTTGCCCTGCAGGCTGAAATGAATCACTTCCACGAGAGGCGCATCTTGGATTTCAAAAAGATGATGCAGTCTTACATCAGGGAGCAGATCGTCTTCTACCAGAGAGTCAGCCAGAAGCTGGAAGAGACGCTGAGGAGATACGACAGCCTCTAGTAAGCCCGCCAGATGTTGGAGCTCAGGATGGTCCTCAACGCTACCATGCCCCTCAGCTGGGATGAGCAGCAGCGACTGTGTTTTCTTCTCTGCCTCTGGGAAAGGGAAGTCTTCTCCTCGTGGTGGATCTTGGGAGGTTCTCCCTGTTGACTTGTGCTGTCCGCCATCTTCACGATGCTAAACTTTTGAGCACTGAAAGGGGAGGTTGTAGCCCCGTCGTGACCAAAGCTTGGGATGATAGTGTCTTCCCCACCCATCCCGATCCAATCGCAAGGACCCAGCCAAGAATCGTTGCACAAAAGACATTTTGACGAGCGGAATTCTTTTCCTCAAGAAGAGCTGAGCTTCTAGCCTTGTTGTTTACAAAGGAAGTAAAAGAATTTGCTTTCCAAAGGAAATGTAGCTTTTTGCTCCAGCCAGCTTCCTTTTTTTTCCCCTCTCAGGCTTGATTTTCTGGAAAAAAAAAAAAAGCACTCTTAATTTATCCAGATCTTTTCCGACACCAGCACTTCCTGTTCCCCTCCAGAAAAGGAACAAAATCAGGTTGAACTCAGTTCAGAGTTGTTGTTGTTTATTTTTTTTTTCTCTTTCTCTCTCTAGATAGGATGATTGTGCAAAAGCAAGAGAACAGAGAGCAAAAATGGAGGTGAAGTGGAAGGAGTGAAAAGGTTGGCCCACCAAAGTGACTCTTCTGAGGAAGTCGCACAAGCAACACAATCTCACTCCTGAGATCTGTGACAGGTAGTCCTCGACTTACGACCGCAAGTGGCCCCAGAATTTATGTTGCTAAGCGAGCCAAGCGGTCGAGTGAGTTTTCTCCCCCACGTTATGACCTTTCTTGACGTCGTTATGAAGCGAATCGCTGCAGTTAAGTTCGTTAATACGGTCATTAAATGAACCTGGCTTCCCCATTGACTTTGCTCATCAGAAGGTCGCAAAGGGGATCACGTCCCAACCCCCACTCACCCCCCGGGACACCGCAACCGTCATAGATACGAACCAGTCGCCAAACATCTGAATTTTGATCACGATGCTGCAACAGTCGCAAGAGTGAAACCGGTCGTAAGTCATTTTTTTCCCCAGTGCCATCGCAACTTTGAACGGTCACTAAACAGACTGTTGTAAGTCGAGGACTACTTGTCTATAGACATACAGGTCATAGGCATGCATTTTTAAAGCCACTCACCTCTGCACTCACCTGAGTAAATCCAGAGTTACTTCCCCACCCCCCGTCTTTGAAAACAGAGCAGTCCGTGGAAACTGCCGTTGTGTGTTTTGATTTGTTGTCTGCAAGACGGATGTTCAGATGTCCAAGTTGGCTGATACCTGTTTTTGTTTTAAAAAAAGGTTTTCTCCATGGGAAACGGGACTCTGAGATGGATGTCGTCCATGGCCTTAATCAAGAAGTGGCTCCTTGGACTCTGGGTCGTTTCTCCTCTGACCTGCTGTTATCCATTTCTTCTTTCCTTCTCTTGGTCTCCAAAGAATTGGGGTGGGGGTGGGGGGTTGAAATGTTTGGCGAATAAAATCTGGGGTCTGGGAGATAAAGAGAGCTTCGTCTTCATTGTCTCTGGGGGAAAGTTCTTGGCTAAGACCTCAACGGAGCAAAAAAAAATTTAGGTTTGCTAAGTGAGAAATTTGTTCAGTGACTTTCGGTTCCCGCTTTACGATGTTTCTAGCCGTTCAGTGGATCCCTGCAGTTCTCGAACTAGTAACCCAGTGGCTAAGTGAATCTGGCTTCCCCATTGACTTGGCTTGTCAGAAGGTTGCAAAAGGGGATCCGATGACGCTACAACCATCATAAATAGGAGTCAGTGGCCAAGCAGAGGAATTTTAACCGAATGACTGTGGGGATGCTGCAACAGTTGGGTGAAAAACGGTCCTAAGGGCCATTGAAACTTCGAACGGTCCCTAAGCGAAGTGTTGTAAGTTGAGGACTTACTGTACCTGCGTTCCTTGCAGTGGCAGAGAATTCTAGGGAAAGAACTAGGCACATACAACGTTGGAGGGCAGATCCTTCCCGAGGCGTGGAGGATGCAGTTGTGAAATCCAATTTTTTTTACTACCAGTTCTGTGGGCGTGGCTTGGTGGGCGTGGTATGGCTTGGTGGGTGCTGCTTGGTGGGCATGGCAGGGGAAGGATACTGCAAAATCCCCATTCCCTCCCCACTCTGGGACCAGCCAGAGGTGGAATTTGCCGGTTCTCCGAACTACTCAAAATTTCCGCTACCGGTTCGCCAGAACCTGCTGGATTTCACCTCTGGGCAGATGAGGGCAGGGTAACCTACAAACGTCACTGGATCTGGATGTCTTTGGGGGATCGGTTGCAATGTTGAATGGTTGCTGAGCACCCAGTCGTAAGCCGAGGACTACCTGAATTCCTCGCAGCGGCAGAGAGTTCTAGGGAAGGAGCTGGACCCGCAGCTTTTGAGGGCACTTCCTTCCCAGGGTGTGGAGGTTGGAGTGGGAGACCCTTCAAACGTCACTGGTGCTGGACAGGTCAATTGGCTGGATGCACCGGGCTTTGTTTCTCCAGGGAGATTTTGCAGATAAAAGTGCGGAAAGGAAACCAGCCAACTCAAAATGTCACCCAGGGCAAGAAGGAAACGATTAGTCTTGTCGGGAAACACACACAAAACACGCCTGTGACCCCGGGACCAGCCACAGACGGGCTTATTGTTGTGTCAGGAGCCTGGCACCTCCCTGGCAGACGGAGGCCGTAACCTGGCTTCCTGGGGAAAACAGGAGGAGCCCCCGAAACAAGCAAGGAAACCATTTCATGCCCGATCCAGACTGTTTCTGATTTTGCACGGAATCCTCGGGGTTGTGCAAATTGAGAGACGGCCCGTTGCAGCTTCGAGAACCTGGATTCAACTTGTCACGTGAAAAGGGTCTCCGAATTGTGCCATCCCATCCTTGGTACATTGTGGGTCTAACTTTCAGGCTGTCATAATCTTGTTTCAAATAAGCAGCGAGCTTAAAATCTGTTTCAGTTTCAGTTAGCTTTATTGATTAGCCTGTAGGCCAGGGGTCTCCAAACTTGGCAACTTTTAAGCCTGGTGGACTTCAACTCCCAGAATTCCCCAGCCAGCTGGCTGGGGAATTCTGGGAGTTGAAGTCCACCAGGCTTAGAGGTGCCAAGTTTGGAGACCCCTGCTATAGGCCATATCAAAGCACAAGGTGCAAACACATACCACCAAGAAAACCTTATACAAACAATTTAAAATAAAAGATAGGGTAAAATACAATAATTATAGGCTAAGATACAATCTAATTTGATGCATAAATATATGAAATAGAGTAAAATGACATCAAATTATATTTTGGTGTCACCTTTACAATCTACCCCAATCAGTCTCACGTATGCAGATCTCAACCGAACCATTTTGTTTTAAGGACTGTGCTGTGTTAAATATTATTTTCAGGTTCTGGCTGCACATAAAAGTACCATAAGTTGTTTTGATTTGGGGATCCCAATGGGTCCTTCGTTTGGTATATGGGCCAAGGTACCTGTCTGTCACCCCCTTATACAAGCAACAGTCAAATAGGATGTGAGCCAGGTCTTCTACCTCTGCCGGTCCACAAGAGCTTAAAATCAAATTCCAACTCCTTCAAGTTTCTTGAAGTCAAAGGAAGTTGGGGATTTTTTGGCTCTTCCATCTGAGCTTCCAAACTCACACCTGTGCTTTGGGGGTAAGGGTGAAATCCAGCAGGTTCTGACAGGTTCTGGAGAATCGGTAGTGGACATTTTGAGCAATTCGGAGAATCAGCAAATACCACTTCTGGCTGGACCCAGAGTCGGGAGGGAATGGGGATTTTTCAGTATCCTTCCCCTGGAGTGGGGGGGGGGAATGGAGATTTTGCAATGTCCTTCCCCCAGGAGTGGAGAGGGGATGGGGATTTTGCAGTGTCCTTCCCCCAGGAATGGGAAAGGAATGGGGATTTTGCAGTATCCTTCCACTAGAGTGGGGTGGGAATGGGGATTTTGCAGTATCCTTCCCCTGCTATGCCCACCAAGCCACGCCCACAGAAGCGGTAGTAAAAAAAATGGATTTCACCACTGTTTGGGGGTGTGTGTGGAAAAGAGAGTGAGAATCCCTCCTCCATCTCCAAATCTCAAATATTCTGAGCAGTCTCCCGTCTGCTCTAGTAAACCAAAAATCCCTTCACCTTCGCTGGCCAAAATCCTAGCGATTTTGTCGGTCTCCTTTTCCAAGCAAAATTAGCTTGTGGAAAACCACAGTGAAAAGTTGCATTTCTCTCTTTTGGTGGTTTTGCAAAAATGATGACCGGATTATGTCTGGTTTTTTTTTTTTTTTTTTTTTTAAAAAGCTATTTCTCTACCAAAGGATAGTAAGAGCAATTGGTAGAGTGGATTGCTGTCTTCACACAACAGGCAAGACAAACGATGCAACACCCAAAAGCAACAAACTCTATTGGCCTGGTACACATATGCACACACAGTTGTCACTTCAGAAAGAAAAGTTGTGGTTGTTTGTTGTTGTTGTTTTTAAAAAAGTGATTTGTATTCAAGGCTGAAAGGAGGATCCCCACTGAGAAAGGCAAAAATAAAAATAAAAATGAAGGAATCCAGAAGTTGAGGTGGGCAGATTCCAGGCAGCTGGATTAGATTCTTCTCAGCTGAAGAAGAGGATGTATGAATGTGCCAAACTTCGATTGATGAGGAATCCTTGACAATCCAATACTAGAGTTGCTTGGTGGTTATTGGTGCCCTCTGAGCTTGGTGGTTTTCTTGGAGACATTTCATAATCCATAACATCATCAGTGGTAGAAAAGAATGGGATTTACAGAGGGGAGGAGGAGGAGGAGAAGGACTGTAGAGTCCTTGGAGCTCTCTGAACTTGGTAGTTTTCTTGCAGACATTTCATGACCCAACTAGGTAACATCATCAGATCTACAGGCAGGTAGTTTTCTGCTACCTGCAAAGATCGCCGCAAAAGCCCTGGGTGAACTGGGAAATTTGCCCCAATCTGAAACAAGTTAGAGAGAGGTTGTCATCACCCATCAGAGGCTCTTGTTTCTTGTCAACTCGCAAACCCCCTTCACCTCCCCCCCCCACTCCTTGCTCAGGGTTTCAGAGCGTGCTGTTCTGCCTAAGAATTCCTTGGCAAGCAGCTTTGCAGAAGTTCAATGAACTTTGGACCGGGAGAAGCAGATTCCTGGCTCTGCTTATCGAAAAACACGTCGCTTGTACCCTCTCAAGACGACTTTGCAAGTCCGGTGGGACTTCAGAGCAGGACTTTGGCTCCACACACTGAAAAGGAAGTACAAACATCCAGACTCCGAGATCTAATTATAAACCCTGCACTAACTAAGCCATAGTTATACATTATAGCAATGCTGGGTTCTTTAATCTTGACACCTTAGAGCTGGGTGGACTTCAATTCCCAGAATGCTCCATCCGGCAATTCCAGGAGTTGGAAGTCCATATATCAGGGGTCTCCAATGTTGGCAACTTTACGACTTGTGGACTTCAACTCCCAGAGTTCCTCAGCCTGGGAGTTGAAGTCCACAAGTCGTAAAGTTGCCAACATTGGAGACCCCTGCCATATATCTTCAAGTTGCAGGATCAATTACACTCGTAAGTCAAGGACTACGCTCTGAATGACTGTTCCTCAACCTTTGACACCTTGAATCTGGGTGGACCTCAGCCCCCAGAATTTCTGCAGCCAGCAATTCCAGAAATTGGAAGTCCATGCATCTTCAAGTTGTGGAGTCAATTATAGTCATAACTCAAGGATTATGTTCTAAATCAATGTCCCTCAACTTTGGCAGCATGAAGATTTGAGGACTTCAACTCCCACAATTCTCCAGCCATCAATTCCGGGAATTGGAAGTCCACCCACTTTCAGGTTGTCAACTTGGAGAAACATGGCTTAGTGTGTTTTGCCAAGCCAGTCCTGCTTACTTAGTTGATGGCTCCAAGCTGGAAACGGGGAACTGGGTTAAGCGGGTTGTGGAAATTTACGAGAGGTGACTATGCCAAGGGCTACCTAAGAGCTGTGGTGGCGCAGTGGTTAGAATGCAGCATGGCAGGCAAATGTCTGCTCACAGTCTGGAGTTCGATCCTGACTAAGGGTTGACTCAGCTTTCCATCCTTCCGAGGTGGGTACAATGAGGACCCAGATTGTTGGGGGCAAGAGGCTGACTCTGTAAACCGCTTAGAGAGGGCTGGAAAGCACTGTGAAGTGGTATATAAGTCTAAGTGCTATTGCTATTGCCCTTCCTTCCTTCCTTCTTTCCTTCCTTCCTTCCTTCCTTCCTTCCCAGTGGTTAGAATGCATTATTGCAGGTTAATTCTACCCACTGTTAGCAGTTCGATCCTGACTATCTCAAGGTTGACCCAGCCTTCCATCCTGTTTGTAAAATGAGGACCCAGATTGTTGGAGGCAATATGCTGACTCTTTAAACCGCTTTGAGAGTCTGTAAAAGCACTGTGAAGTGGTATATAAGTCTAAGTGCTATCCTTCCTTCCTTCCTTCCTTCCTTCCTTCCTTCCTTCCTTCCTTCCTTCCTTCCTTCCTTCCT